TGTGTGTGTGTGTGTGTGTGTGTGTGTGTGTGTGTGTGTGTGTGTGTGTGTGTGTGTGTGTGTGTGTGTGTGTGTGTCACACTCCTCAGACAGCACAGGTAACGTGATCGACCTGGTGAAAGATCAGCTGCCGGAGCTGCAGCTCTCTGAGGAGGATCGACAGAAGAACCTGGAGCTGCTCGAACAGGCCAAAAAGGTCAGCGACCGCTTCCTGACACGCCGAGGCCGCCGCTCCACCAGCAGCCTCACAGACTCACCCACAGGTAGAGCACGTGCACACACGCGTGCACACAAACGTGCACACACAGACAACAATGAACAGGGCATATTATTCCTTGAACATTGGTTGAATCATGATACGGTGGGGATTTGTTTGGTCTCAGTGAATTAAAATTGTATCTGTATTCCCTTTTCCAATTTGTTTTCCACAGGGCTTTCTCCTATTCCAACTCCACCATCCTCACCGTGCTCGTCTAGAAGCAGCTCTCTGTCTGTGGCCCCACAAACCGGTGTGTACTGTTCTTCATCCTTCTTTGTTTACTATTTTCTGTTATTCAAACGGCTTGTGTGTAGAATTAAGAGCTGACAGACATGAACGATAACGTTTTGATCCGTGTATAATCACCTGAAACTAAAAATCATTGTGTTTTTGTGAGCTTAAACTGAGCTGTTCATATTTATAGGACATAGAAACTTGATTCTCTTCCACTGAGTCCACACGAGCCCAGAATGCACAAACCAAACACTGGTCCTGGCCTGCAGTTTTTTTACATGACCCAGCTGGTTGCATTCTCCAACCTCACCATTAAATGATAATAAATCCTTCATACTACTCTTTCAATTCAGATTTTGTTCATTGTTTTCTGCTTTGTCAGCTGCTGGACCCTCAGAGTCGACGCATATCAGCTCACAGTCTGCTGGTCAGGTAAAGATACTTTTCGTTTTCCCTTTTTTCCTTTATATTGTCTTTTTACTTTTTGCTAAAATTTCTGTGTCTGTTTGAAATGTGCTTAACAGTTAGAAATGTACACTCTAATTGATAGTTGATTATTGATCCAAGAGATATTAAATAACAATAGGAAACTTGTGTTGTGTTGATCTCTTGTAGCTTCTAGATGTTCCTTCAGGACGAGAACAGACTGAAGTAACGACCCAGGATCAGGAGGTCAGACTAACAGATTTACTGTAATCATGTTTGAACTACCACCACTATGATGTCAACGTTTTATTTGACAAGTTCTATTTGGCCCAAAGGACTGTGGCTGTCTGAGCATAAATCTCTACGGATTTCATTTTTGCATCTTTAAATTTAGAGTCTGATACTGACAGTGTGTGTGTGTGTGTGTGTGTGTGTGTGTGTGTGTGTGTGTGTGTGTGTGTGTGTGTGTTTCAATATAAATATGAAATTTAGTGCCACAGGTTTATTCCAACATATAAACTGTAAACTGTATTAATAGTCATGCTGTGTGTGACCTCAGGGCAGGCTGTTGGTGGACTGGAAGCCCACTGAGAAGAGGAAAGTTTCCTCTGGGACTCTAACGCCCCGTTTTGCTGTTCAGAAGGAGAACTGTGATCCTGCTGCACCTAAGAGTCCCCCAGCAGTCAATAAAGCAGATGAGGGCGCCGGTTCAGGCCAAAGCCCCAACCAGGCCCCGGCCACAGGGGTGGCCAAGCCCGTCCTCCGACCCCCCACTCAACTGGCCCCCTGTACAGCAGAGATCAAGACAATCGGGGCTTTCCCTCCGCTAATGAGAGCAGTTTCCTGGGATGCTGTGGGCAGCCTTAATTCTAGAAACGGAGCGCCAAGTTTCCCTCCAAAGGCAGAGGACACTTTCTCAGACAAGCCCAGAGATGTGTTGAAGTCTTCAGGGTACAAAGACCTCTCTGCTCAGCCGGGGGGTGTACCCAAACTGTCGAAACTCAGAGAGGTAAAGCATTGGTGCAGAGGATTTTATAACTGTCATCACCTGCTCTAATTTTAATAGTTGAAATGATGTGGGAATAAAACATAACAGCTTTGTTTTTGTGTGTGTTTGTGTCTCTAGGAACACAAGCTGCTGCGTAACCAAAGCATAGTGGGATCCAAGTTACCAGACTTGAGTGAAGCTGCTGAACAGGAAAAGGGTAACAGTCCTCATTTGCCCTCTTGTCCATGTAAGAAAGAACGTTTTTTTTAACAGCACATTCAGCAATATCGCCAAGGGTGTGCACTTCCTGGATCTCAGGGAAAATATTTGTTCCCGTCACAAAATGGTGATGAGCTGTTCTTGTCTGTTCTTCCTCTGTGCCAACCATTTACTGGCCTCGCAACAGAGAAAGCTGCTGTTTTCAGTTTCCGTCAGCAGATGGCATGGTTGGTAAAGCATGTGAGCAAAAGACCATCTGATTTAATGAGGAATTTCAAAATCTTGTGTATGATTATGTTTTGAAATAACACAAAACCGTAGATTTGCATTAGAAAGTCAGGTTGGAAGAAGAAT